CTAAGTTGCCGCAGGAAAAACATCCTTTGCTGTGCCTTTTTAATAATGGCTGGAATGTTAAACGTCCATTTCAGGTCTTGGGAAAGTACTTGCCTCTTCATAAGTTAAGATGGAAAAATAAAAGCATAGGACATGATATAAATATGTATTTGTAAAATAGTGCTGAGAAACATTCAATAAATTGAGAAGGTAGCTAACCTCTAAAGTTGGATACAGATCATCTTTCTTGATAACCTCCATCTCTTTTACTTCTCCCACAATTGGAGCACTAGTATTTTCTGACACAGGCACCTCCTTGTTGCAACTGATCCTTCCAACATTAAGTTTGGGTCTCTGGAATCGTCCTCTTACCAACTGAGCAGGCTTGATTGTACGTGACTTATCTTCTTGGAAAATGGATTTCTCTCTATCAACCAAAGACATAAAGTACCAAAGTGGGTTAACAGATATTTAAAACAGGTATTTGTATATTGATGTGACATTCTTAAGAACTCTTTCTTCTGCTTGTCTACCTGCCAAATATTTGTTAGTTAGAAATTCTCCTTCAAAACAACTGAAGATGAACTGTATTTCTGCTTTTCCAGAGGACTTTTGGGGCCTGATGCCATTCACTGTGTTTGTCCCATGTTTATATTTTTTATCTTTATGTTTTATATTTTATTGTATATTCTTATTTTGTGAACTGCCAAGAATCCTATGATTAGAGCAAGATATAGGTTTGATAAATAAATCATTACTTTACATCATGCTATGCGGATTCAGGATATGAGCAAGGCAGCTGCTAACACAATGTGTTAGCAATAAATTTTAAACAATAAATTATAAACATTGCCTACAATACTTTATTCTGAAATGAAGAAATATGTTTTTACTTATTTCCCAGGTGAAAGATTTAATAAGGTACTTCATCAAATAAAACACAAACATTCCCTGCTTGCCTTTCTCAAAGGGAAAGAGAGGAGCCAATCCAGCAAACTAAATCCAAAACTGAAAGTACAAAGATACCAAATTTCCAAATTTATTTATTTATTTATTTATTTATTCATTCAATTTATATAGCTGCCCATCTCGGACCAGTGACTCTGAGCAGCTAACAACAATAAAAACAATCAACATTAAAAACAGTACAAAAATTAAATATAATATA